GATTGGCCAGCAGCAGCCCGCAGTGACACGCCCTCTCCTCTGTGTATGACCATATTGTTCGCACATCTTGTGTGCGCACGAATGAATCCCGCATTTTTCTTGTTTATCAGCGTCTTACGCTAGGCCCTGGACAATGACAAACATCAAATACCAAGTTAATAGCTCAAACACGACTGTGCTTTTTTTTCATCCATTTACTTTTACGTCGTGAGGGCAGTCTAAGACACTAGAGTGGGGTGTCTTTTATATCTCAGAGCACGTTATCTTAATTTTATTCTACAGTTAACTGTTAAAGAGAAAGTGTAATAAACTTCCTCCCGCGTATACTCCTTATTTGCTAGCGTTGGCATTCGTTACGGCACAAGCACTAGGCGTGACCAACATGAAACGCAGCTATTGGCTGTTTCTTTCCTCTGTTCGGAAAGAGCCTCCTGCTTCCTGGCCGACAGAAGCAGTGCCACATGTCTTCTGCTTAATTCCGGACGCTTAGTATTCCTCGATGTGCCTCAAAATATCCGTAAACGCATAGGACCATCAGTAGCGAAGAGCCGTAGCTATGAGCTCCTTCCTGAATACCACAGTGGCACAACTCTTGATTCCAGTATTCGGGCATTCTCCACGTTGCTAGACACTTTGAAGGTTGCGTGCACTGCCTCCACAGGACCCACCGGTGTACAACCCGACGTGCTTCCAATCGTAAATGCCGAGGATGGGTCACACGTGCAATGAAACAGCGGCTGTGATGTGAGGTGTGGCAGCGTCGATGCCACCCGTCCTCCGGTGCTGTACGCGTCCAATCAAGGGCACTAAACTGGGCGACTGATTAACCAAATGGGTGTTTTCCTTACCTGTATATAAAGTGGATAAAGTTTAGAATAATACCCTTTCGCAATACACCTCAATGGTGAGAAACATTTTTTAGCAGTGGTAGTGTAACAACAATAATGATCACAGTGACAAATATAATGCACAGAGCATACACTGAAGGCGCCATGCGAAAAAAAACGGAATTCATGGGCACTTGTGCTTCCCTGACTTCTGTTGTTTTGCTATGTTTTTCAAATTTCCTCCCTATTTCTTCCTCCACTGCTTTCGTCTCTCTTCATCGTAGTTTTTTATTTGTTTTTAGTGCCATTTATTTATCTACATTTTTTTCTCTTTATTGCCCTTTTTATACTTGCTCCTTTTTCGTCCCTTTGTATATTTTTCTCTTACTCCCTGTTTCCTTACCCCACCGCCATGGTCTAGTGGCTAAGGTACTCGGCTGCTGGCCCCCTGGTCGCGGGATCAAATCCCGGCTGCGCCGGCTGCATTTCCGCTGGAGGCGGAATTGCTGTAGACCCGTGTGCTCAGAATGGGGTGCACGTTAAAAAACTCCAGGTGGTCGAAACTTCTGAGCCCTCCACTACAGCGTCTCTTAAATTCATATGGTGGTTTTCGGACGTTAAACCCCACATATCAATCAATCAATCAATCAGTCCCTGTTTCCTTCCATTCTTTCCTTTCTTTACCTCTCCCTCTATTTCACCCTATTTCACGCTCTTCCTATTTGATTCTTTCTCCTTCAGTCTCTATCTCTCTTTCTCACTGTGTTCTACATTTTGCTTTTTCTCTTTTTCATTTCCTTCCTCCTCCTTCTCATCGCATTTCTGCTTTTCACGCTCCCTTCCCTTTCTCACCACCTTTTTATACTATAATATACAAGGCTGTGCTATGCTGTGCAAATGTGTCTGGATAGCACAGTGATTAGAACTCTCGTCTTCTGCTCGAGAATAAGCGGGTTCCAATCCAGCCTCCGTGATTGGAACTTGCGAGAGGAATGTCCCCTTTTGCCCCAGCTTTGGCTGAGTGATCGGCCGACGAAAAGGCGAAACCTCGAGAACCCAGGGCGAACGTCTATAAGCAAGCAGTGGAGGGTGGCGATCAGGAGATAAGTGTTTTCGGCCAGCGGATGGAGTCTTGTCATACAGTGAGTGACCAAGCAGGTGATGCAGTGTGTGCCTTCCGCCAGTGGACTAAGACGTGTCTGGAAGGAGCAGCACGTGAGTGGCTGACATGTTTCCGGTGAAGATGTGGTCCCTACGGCGCCAGAGTTTTCTCGAAGAGAAACCTTAGGCGCAGTGGGACGAAGACCGGTGCGGGGCTTTTAGTGTGCTTTTTTTTTTTTTTTTGAAGAGAAGCAATCAAGCTTTGTTCCGAGAACTTTGGACTGAATACACCTCGGAAACATTTTAGTGTCTTGGTTGGTTAATATGAGATTGCAATGTACGCAGTGCGAGTTGAAGCAAAAGCGTTCGTAAGAGACACCCCAAGCCACATGCGACACAGAACGGTTTTCTGAAATTTGGATAAACCAGATGGAATGGTAAGTCCTAGATTAGGATCTAGACGGTGAAGACGGGTGTGGAGAAACCGGGGCGTGTTGCACAGAGACCTGGCGACATTGTGCGCGAGCGTATTAATCCTTGCGGCTGCGTGACTTCTTGACAGTGCATTGGTATTCATCATGCCATTTTTGTGGGCGTATAGATGCATGCATGACAAGCGTTCGATAGAGAGTGAATCGTCCTGACATAGATGCCTTGACATATCTTTCGAAGCTAGACAAAAGTGCGACGCATACACCTCCTATATCACTGCTTCGCATTGCATGGTGAACCATGTCCGGTTTTTTTATTTGTTTTTTCTCTCTCGCATTCCTAAAAGCTCTAACTATGAAGAACCGGGAACTTCTGTTCTCTATTTCAGCCCCACAGTATATATGCAAATAGCGCAACATGAAGCTGAAGCTTCTTGCCACAATTCCACTTTCGACGCATTGGATTACTCTGTTCACTGACATAGCATGTTTTGACGACACTAGCATTACATCAGCATGAACACCTCGGTCTGCCTCGACCGAGTATATTAGTCTGCTACAAGTAGATAGCACTGGTCTATCTGCAGCAGAGCACCCATTTATTTGCGAAATGCATTCTGTGATTTCAGTGGGAGGGTGACGGCAAAGTTGCGGATCATATATATATGAGGATGTGGGTAGGAGGAGGTCATGTTTATCTGCACATGTTTATCAACAACAGAACAATTCATCCTCAGAGCAGCTAAACGCATGAACTTCGTTTAGCTGCCTAGTAGCTGGCTGAGTGGCTTGCCTAATGGCTTCACGCAATTAGGCGCACATGTAGCTAAATGAAAGAAAAACGTCACTGCAATAGAGTTCGAAGACACATGTGCACAATCACCATGCTGGAACGCACTCGGGTGGTTGCGCCCCTTACTGGAATTTTCTAAAGATTCGTTCACTTACTATTATCTGTATATACCACGTATGCCACCTAGACGTAATATACATACACTCCTCCGCGTCTGAAGAAGACAGCGTTAAACGAGGTGAAGATTCAAGTGATTTCATACAATATTTAGTTTTAGTTGCAGAACATTATTGCGCAGGGCCGAAAGTAGAGGCTTTTCATGGCCTTCTTTCCGGCTGGCTCCGCGTGCATACAGACCCTCCCCCCTTCTCCCTCACCTCGTTTTTTTTTTTTTTTTCAATCCTGCCCACAACATTCGCGTCTGAATTTGAGTGAGACGCTCCTGTTATTTGGATACGTTCCAAAAGAACGTGAAGCACTTTTTTTTTTTTTGCTCCTCTGTCCGATCAAACACGCGTGGATCCGTGCTTCCTGCATTCCGTATGTTTTTCTGGGGTTGCTGTGCTATTAGCCAGGCACCTGTGAATGCTGCACTTACGCGCTGTAGTGCAGGCAGGCCTAAACTATTACGCATGCGCACCAATGCAGAGCTAAGGGTCACGGTTCTGTGTTGGTGCACGAACGTTCATACCATCGGGGACGTGGGGACAGTCAGTGTTCGTGTTTTGACTCTTAAGACACTTGAACACTTTTATTTTTATATTACTAAATTGACAAAATAGGAAAGGTTGGTGCCTTTGTGGTGCCGCCGAATATTTCTTCTCGCCACAATATGCGTCAGAAAACAATGAGGGCACAAAAAAAATTGAGGAACACTTAAGTTCCACCTTTAAGAATTCAACGTGATAGCGAAACCCGGCCCCTAGTGCACCCTTTTACCACTAAGTGAATACTTATTCTATGTTTTGTTGCATGCACACGCACGCACAGAAACACGCACACAGTATATTGGACCAGCGCGCGCGCGCGAACGGTACATACAGGTTTTTGGTCTAAACCAGAGTCGCTTGGCCTCTAAGATACAAGCCGCGCGCTCGCCACCTCGGAGGCCGTAAAGAGTATCACAATGCCTCACGGATGGCAGCACATTATCTACCATTCACTGTTTGCTTGATCGACACCTCTAGAAAGGCATGATGCGTTTTCCACTAGATAATCATGATTGTCTATATTTAGAGCTGTTTGAAAGTTCTTGTGTGTTTTTAGCGGCGATGGCTGCACTATCCCAGCCTTCTTCAACGTATTTAGAGGCTTCCCGAATGCACGTACAAATCGCCGAATGGGCTCGTTTTTTTCGTGACACTTATCAAACAAAATGCGCTAAATGGGCCCTGAAACACTTTTTCAAATAACCATAGAATGAATTCACTAGAAGAGCTTATTGCCTGATGAATTCAACACCGCAATAATTATAAGAATCCATTCAGTGCGAGTGGTGTTGCCCGCCGCGGGGGTCTAGTGGCTAAGGTACTCGGCTGCTGACCCGCTGGTCGCGGGTTCGAATCCCGGCTGCGGTGGCGGCATTTCCGATGGAGGCGGAAATGTTGTAGGCCCGTGTGCTCAGATTTGGGTGCATGTTAATGAACCCCAGGTGGTCGAAATTCTCCACTATGGTGTCTAACTCGTTTAACAAAACCCAGCCAGATTGGAAACCACAATCGAAAAATAAACTCTCGCCTCGTCAGTTTTCTCATGGACAGCTGCTTACATTACACTTGTGTTAGCGGGTAACGAAGCGGTAGCTTCAACCATCAGCGGAGGGCGGACAAAGGAAGAGAAACTGAACAGTCAAGCGCTGTCCCTTTCTTGTCCTTTGTCCGATCTGCGCTGGCAGCCGAATCCTAAACATAGCTGCAGCAGTGGTAGCGTCCACCTGTACATGTAAAACGAGAAGGCGCTCACCTTTTTCTTGTTCCTGACGACGATGGCGTCTCGCACCGACTCCGGGTTTCCGGGGATGGTCGAGTCCTTGAGCAGGCGGCGAATGCGCTCGTACACGTAGCAGATGACCAGCAGGGGCGCGAAGTACTGTGAGCAGACGAGCGCATTGTTGTAGACGCGCCAAGCGCTTGGAGGCAGCGCCACGTTGTGGCAAAAGGGGCGCGTGCGCTCGCCACTGCGTTCATCCTGGACAAGCGTGACGCGCAGAGCGAACGCGTACGGCGCCGCTGCCATGGCTGACGCCACCCAGATGACAGCGATGAGGACCCGTGCCGTCAGGCGAGAATTGAGGCGCGCCTTCAGCGGGATCGTGATGGCCCTGTAGCGGTCCACGGCTATCGCGGTCAGCGTAAAGATGGACACGTTGACCGACAGCACCTGCAATAGCACGGGAAGGGTGAAAAAAAAGGTCATGCTGAGGGATACCAACCACATGAATAAGCACTCCGTCGGGCAGAAATGCACGCTCTATCAACGTTTCTGTTTAACTGTGCTATATACAGGTGGTTCTATACTCGCAGGTTGCTCTCGCTCATCAAAATGGAGAGCATTGGTTTGGTTTGTACCACACATTACAAAACGTTTGCCTCCTGATCTGCCTCTCCATGCGGCCCCTTCCGCCTCTTATCGGAGAGTTTTGAATGCTACTGATTATTCCCGCTGGAACCATCATAGGATGGTGTGTATGTGCAGTTTGCCTAGCCCACGTGGAACGGGCTTCAACATAACTGTATGCGCAAAAGCATCTTGCAAACTGTGAAGCGCTCGTCTTCCCCACGTTTTTTTTTTTTTTACTAATATGTTCCTTACCGTCTCCCAAACAAAATTCCAGCAAAGCTAATTCAATATTTCGAGATTCACACAGTGTATGAAATTCGCATTAAGTAAAGAACGCTAGCTTTTATGCGTTACCGTCGTATGACTTCTCCTTCTCCTTCAACGAAAGGAACTATATGTTCCCGGCTGCTCTTCTGAACAGCATAGAACAAACATGAAGCCTTTGATTTCAACGCTTTGATTCCCTACCATTCGTAAAACACACGGACACGTAACTTAGAAGTGTGATAGCTTGGGCTAGTTGGTATGGCATGACGATAGTTATAGCGCGAGAACAAAACGACTACACAGAGACGTGTCCTTCGTGTCCTTTTGTTCTCGCGCTATAACTATCGACGCAGACACGCATGCACATTATATATATATATATATATATATATATATATATATATATATATATATATATATATATATATATATATATATAATGTCGTAGCCATCGAAGAGGGCTGCAACTATTCTTTTTGGTCAGAAGTACAGGAAAATGTTTATTTTCTGACCTTTGGTCAGGAGGTGCAGCAGATCAATAGAAGGAAGGAAACGCGGCAGCTGGACGCTCTGCCGGACATTCAGACGGAAATTGCTCGAGCACTCGCTCCTCCCTTCTCTAACTGGCGAACCGTAGGTTTGACACTCGCGAAAAGTGGCTGTACAGAGAAGGGGTATTTGTCGCCGCAATTCTACGTATGTCCAACAAACATCTTTCATCTTCGTTTCACGGGCTTTCGACGCAGCAGCAGCAGCAGTTTGTGTCGCGTTCCTGCACTTTCTGTAAACAACGCCACCCTATATTGCCCGAGCAAAGGCTACACGTTGCTCCCTTTTCTGTTTTGTTGGGGAAGCCTATATTGTGCGCAAATACTGATTCGAAGATGTTGGTATTTTTTCTTAATTTTTGTTTTACTTGGACAGCAGTAAATTGGTTTCTGTACCCACGCATTATCTTTATTACGCCTTCGTAATTACGCACTGGTAGAGACCTCGTCGTCGTTAGGTTATGCTCAGCTTCATCCGAGAGAGAAGGAAGAAATGAGAGCATGCTTAAGCTTTACATGGAAAAGCGGAACGCGAAAGTGTTTCGAGGCCTTTTCGCATCACCTTCTCGTTCGCTTGCTATCATTCGCTTCTCGGTAGACATCTGAACCATACCGCGAGCAAATGAACGTCTGTGCGCGCAACAACGGCTATTTTAAACTATTTTGCAACCATGGGTTGGCCGACAAATTGGAGCTCACTCAGGCTCTCTCAATATAATTCGCTCTGAGGGTTAACTCGAACTCAGACTATCCAAAATTTTCCTCTAGCGGACTCTCTGGGACTCAGACTAAATAAACTTTTTCTCAACCGGACTTCATACTCGAACTAAACCTCACCGACATCTGACAGAGGTGGTTTCACTCCGGCTCTAACTCACGGCCTGACCCGAATCTGAGTGAGCCTAAGTGAGTTGACTCGTGACTCCGTTAGCGCAAAATTAGTTTGCTAGGACTCGGCTTTACTTAAAATTTTCTCAACCGGAATGACTGGCACTCAAGCTCATCAAAATGCAACTCACCCTTACTCACTCAGACTCATAATCAAGGACCGATCTGAGTGAGTCTTAGTGAGTCGACTCTGCAGTAAGTTTGCCGACCTATGCTTAAAAGGCATGCCTACTACAATCACAGTTGTGAAGTACCCACTGCACCATATTCCAACGTTTGCTATATAGAAGGGCTCAATATGCACGCCGGCAAGAAATCAGGCGCACCTACATAGCTGTACATTTTTTCGGTGCTGTTGCTGGTGATTAATTATACATATATGATTTGTAATGGATAGGTATTTAGACACTATATATAGTCGCACACGCAGTTCACATGGTGTGACATCTTGTGCAATCGTATGCCTCTGACACGCAATATCACATGTGTTAACCTAACTGCACGCCCGACATTACGCATGTGTAGGGTCTCTTCCCGAAGAAGTTTCAAAAAGTGACAGTGTCTCCAGGACACTTGGATTCCACATAACATGCGTGTGTTTATTCCGATTGGAACCCTAATATTATTATAAAAAGTATCGGGAACTTTCGCTGATGCACAACGCCAATTTTCCGCTCATGGGCAACGCTATACCGATGCCACCAACCGATTTATTATGACGCAGGTTCTTTAACGCTATACGTTTAAACCTATTGTCCCGAACCAGCGGTGTTCAATATTGCACCTCCACGGCTGTGTGCATTTCGAACTATAAAGGGACTGCACGAACCGTTTTGTTATCTTGCCGCCACCGCGACACGCAGTTAAGGCAAGGTTCTTGCACACCACGCACATTCGGGAAGTGGCGCGTCCTCACTTGTATTTTCGAGGAGCCAGACTCAAGTACTCTCATAGTCCTTCCATTCAGTCAACAAATGAACCCAAGCACCAAGAAGCCCCCCCCCCCCTCTCTCTCTCTGTTGGCTTCCTCATTTCCCTTCTCTTTCCGTCAAGGGCACATCCTCCTCAGTCTGGCCTACAAGTATTCCCAGTGCCTTTATTTTCCGATGTTCCTCAAAGTCATTTTGGAAGAATTGCCGTACACGCCTCAGTACACTTCGGCCGCGCTACGTTGAACCACATAGGATAATGCGGGTGCATTTACGACAAAGCCATTAGGAATTACCCCCTTCTTCACCACGTCAAACCATCAGAACAAATTAGAAGTGCTAAAAAAGCAGAACGCGCCGACTCGACAGGCAAGAAGCGCAGATAACGGTGACGTGACGTCATGCGAGCCCGCCATGGCGAAGTGTGCAGAGAATCGAAGATGAATTCCAGTATTAGTTCAAAATAAGGGCCGCCGTTTCACGAACATTTATTGCGATAGCAATTATATGGGCACTATCATCTGGAGTTTGCCGCCGGCGAGTGCCGTCATTCACCGTATATTTATTCGTATCTCTCATATATATATAGATATATATATATATATATATATATATATATATATATATATATATTATATATATATATATATAGTGGGAGTAATAATAATAATTCAATGGGCCAGTTAGTCTTCGTGAAGGTATGGGATTGGCACATCAACAAGGATAAATATATTTATTTCCCAACAGTTTCTATTTATCCTTGTTGACAACGCTCCCGTTGTGCCATATCCCATACCTATATATATATATATATATATATATATATATATATATTTATTTATTTATTTATTTATTTATTTATTTATTTATATAGTGTGTGTGTGTGTGTGTGTGTGTGGAAACGCAAGAAAGAAAACAAGTCACAGCTTTGCCGCAAAGGCGAAGCAATGAATGCGATAGGAACGAATTGGAAGCTCCCGCGCAGAATGGCAAGCAGATCGAAACATGCCCCGCGTTTCTCACGCACAAACAACGCACGAAACCTACTCACAGGTACAAATGAACGTGAATAAGCGTCTTAGTTGTTACTTCCCTGTGTCTGAAAAGCGCACTCTTTTCGCATACGTAGACTGTATACAGCAATTGCAGTGACCTTTGTGCGCCCGGAAACTAAAACAGAATGGTTCCGGTAAAAGCCTAACGCCAGGCAAGACGTACGATCCTTCCTACCGCGTGATAAGGGCGCGCGAGCAGCGCTGACTCCCAGCTTTGCGGGGCAAAGTGCGCGTGGGCGATGAGAGCGCAGCCGCCGCGTCACGACGATGTTGCTACGCGCGCTCATATCGCCATCTTGCTGGTAATGCAGAAAACACAATAGCCCCCCCCCTCCCGAAATGCCCGTCAGCAGCGGTAAGTGGTAGATATAAAAAGTTTGCCGTTTGAACGTTCAAGGGCGTGCTCCTCGGTGGCTCAGTGGATAACACCTCGCACTCACGATTCCGAGGGCCCAAATTCGATTCCGTGCGCCAGAGTGTTTTTCTGGATATTTATTTCTTGCAATTTTCTATAGATACGTATACGCATACGGTGAGTGACGATTACGCTGACTCTGGTGGCAACATCTAGCCCAGTGTACCCATATATTTTCTATCACAATAATAACACGGAAAAGGACTCCGGCGCGTGGCATCGAACGTCCGACCTCTTGCTTGTGAGTGCATGGCATTAGCCACTGAGCCACAAATGACCAGTTCCTTCAATGTTGAAACAGCAAGCTATTTATATCTACCTCTTACCGGGCGATGCCAATCTCGGAGGAACTATCGTGTTTTTAGCATTACCAGCGAGATGGCGCAATGAGCGCGCATCGCCAGATTGTCACGATGTGGCGACGAGTGCTCACGTTCATATCCCACGCTACTTTGCCCCCCGGAGCGGAAAAGAGGAGACTCTCATGCGTGCGCGCGCTTATATCCCGGTGTGGAAAATCGTAGGGCTTGGGCTTTCACAGGAGTAATTCTGCTATAGTTACCGGGTGCGGGAAGGTCATTGTATTCAGTGCACAGACTTTGTTTGCTAAAGGGGCGTGGTTTTTAGACACAGCAAAGTAACAACTGACACGCCTGATAAAAATAATAATAATTTGTGGGGTTTAACGTCCCAAAACCAGCATATTATAATGAGAGAC